CACAAGATAACCTGTAAATTCTGATTGTTTTTATAATTTGTATTATTTTGTATGCTTAATCTTGAAACACTTGTTTTAAATGAAATAGTTTGGTTATATGCTTATTCTTGGCATCAAATATTCTTCTGTACTTCTTGATTTTTAAATCACTGACTATCTAACCCAAATAATTGTTTTCTTTCTCTTGTTTTGCTAAAAAAAATTTTTTTACAATATTTTATTACATCCAACTTTACTATGACACACAATAATGAAATTAATTTGAAGATGTGATCTTTTCTGCTTTGTTTCCTAAACATCTTTACAAGGTTCCAATTGTGCTTGTTATAATAATAAATACTGATATACAAAGAATTCCACAGGTTTCAATGTTCAAAAATGGACCATGCAGAAGAATTCTTGAGAAATTTGAATTTAAACCAAAGATTGACCAATAGGATGTGCCCAAACATAGATGTTGTAAAGTGGTTTTATATCAACTTATCAAGTAGGACCTGCCATGCTTGTGAAATCCACTTTTCTTTCTCCTTAAAGTTTATACACTGCCCTTGAAAGTCTGCTTTAAAAACTTCAAGTGCTTCCAGTACCTTGAGTTGGTCCATGTTTGCTACTGTTCTAATCAATGTAGCTTGTTGTAAATTAGAATATATGACTTTTGTTCAGAATAATGGCTGAATAATCATTGTGTCTTATGTACAGTGGCAATCTTCTATAGACTAATGAACTTCCCAAACAGCCTTTACTAGTCTTTAGGCAACCTTTATCTACAGCAACTCTTGAACAAAAAATGTTTTTAAGTAAACATGTTTTTATCATTATCATTCTTTATCATTATTATTTATCATTAAAGCTAAGCAGCTTTTGCATTTATTAATGTTGAGTATTTTAATGGTATATTGTAATTGTTAATGACTCTTTTAAATTCTTTTTTTCCTTGATAAATAAGTGTCCATTCTAATTTTACTTTTTAAAACTAATACAGTAAAAGAATTTAGGGCTGAGTGCCAAAGACTCAGGATGGCTTAAATTAAATACATTAAATACTTTTTCCTAAATATTTTATGCTGACGTAGATGTCTTATGTGCTGTAAAATAAGGTAATTTAATGGAAGAATTGAATTTTCTAAGCATGATAAATTAGCTTAAATGCTGAATTTGATGTTTTGTCAACTTCTTAGTTCTCATTAAATTAAAATATTCATATTTATATTATAAAAACTAGTATTGCTACCACAGACATTTTATCATCCAAAACTGCAATTTGCATGGATTGCCTTGTTTGAACAAACAACAAACAACAATTTGATAAATCATAAGTGTCACAAAAATTAATGTCAGATTTTTTGTTGCATCATTGAATCAGTCAATGATGATATGTAAATCTTATGTTAGATCATTCTCATTACTTGAGAAACAAATGCTCTTATGCAAGCTTGGACAACTTGCATGTTGTATTCTGCTGCATAATGTGTATCTGAATCACTGATAAATCTTGTCTAAGTTTTTCTGGGTGCAACAAAATGTCAGTGTAAACCAGCCATAAGGGTCAGATATTAACTTCTAATGTTTTTAAAGCTTCATCAGATTGTTGTTTCATATTCTACTCTTTATTTCTAAATAGAATTTTGATTTAAAGTTTGTGTTCATTCAGATGAGTAAGGAAGCTCGAAAGTATTTTTTGCTCCATTAATACATTATTTAAATTAAAATATATAAATATATTGAAGCTACAAAATGACACCAGAAACAATGCAAAAACAATTTTCACATATGGAGATGACCTTTTATTAATGTAAATACCATCAGCCAAATTTTTAATTTTACTTATGCTGTTTAAGTTTGATAGTTTTGTACAACTGTAAACTGTATTAACATTTAAAGTGTCTTTAAATTTCCATTCTAATTAAAAATAAAGAATGAAGTTTATTTTAAAATTGTTTTTAAAATATGAGGTCATTCTGAATTTAAAAATACTTTTAATGTAATATTGGTTCATTAACGTAAATTTTAGATGTAAAATTATAGGTGTGAATAAAATTTTAAATTTAAAAACAGGTGCTTGAATCAAGAAAATATTATTGTATGCAAAAATGATTATTGATACTTGAACAGATGTTGAATGAAAACACCTGCTTTCAATATTAAATTTAAAATATTTATTTAAAATTTTGGGGACTAAAATTTATAAAAAGAAAAATATACAATAAAATATCAGATGATAAAGATATTTGCTTGAATTATGTGATTATGGAAGTAAATTTTGTTTCTAAAATTTATTAATAATTGGGATGTCATAACTAATAAATTTCTGTATCTGTTAAAAAATCAAATGATTTACTAATTAAAAATTATGCAACATTTAATAAATAAACCATTTAAATCTAAGATAAAATGGTTTGTTTGTTAGACTATGTCAGGGATAGCGAACCTTTGTGTTTGCATGCCATATTGTAAGCATACTTAGCTTTAAAGATGTTTGAGTGCCAAAGTTTCAGACTTTGAATAACAATATTTAAAGAAATTAAATGAATATGCTTTAATTAGAATAAATGTAAAAAAGCTGATTGAAAAAAGGATGATCAGGTGATAAACCGAAAAGATGATTGAAAAAGACAGAAATCATATGATACATTATGTGCCAGATGATTTCTCCTTACGTACCACAGGTTCGCCACCCCTGGGCTATGTGAATCACTTGGATGTTTGGGTACCTCATTAGTTAAGCAAAAGAAATTTGTTGGCTAGAGTAAAAATATGCAGCAGCTTGCTTGCACATTATTTTTTAGCAAAATCTTTGAACCATATAGTGACAGGAGAGAAGAAATGGATGTTCTACAACATTGTTGCATGAGAAAAGTTGGAACAAGGTTGGTAATTTCCCTCATTAACCATTCCTGTAGTAAATGTTCACAAAAAAAAAATGATGTCGGTTTTGTAAGGTTGCTTAGGCATTGTCCATTGTGAACTATTGGGAGACGAATAAAGCAACAAACTGCAACAAGCACTGTCTACAGCTTGGATGTTTGAAAGAAGCAATTGCTCAAGTGATGTGAATTAAGCAACAGATGGTGAATCATTTTCTACCAAGACAATGCAAATCTCATACACTTGCTATCCTGAGATAGATTAACAATTCAAATTGGAAACATCCTAGTTTCTCTACTTTTTGCTTAGTCTGGTTTCCACAAAACTATGTAAGGAAAAACTTTACAAAATTGAGATGATGTGAAAAGATAACTTGAGAGATTCTTCAATGAACAGGATCTGGATTTCTTCTGTAGTGAGATTCATAAATTAGAAGAAAGATGGCAAGAGATACTTGATGTTAATGGCAAATACATCATTTATTAAAATGAAGTAGTTAATGAAATACAAAGTTTTAAAGTTTATTTTGAAAAACCTAGAAAATTTTTTGGATAATCCAATAAATTAATAATTAATTTTAGAACATTCTAAAAGAAAAGGTTGAAATAGAGCAAGTCTCAAATTCTCAACTTCTGTTTACCTTGTAGATGTATTGCCAGTTACGCTACTTGAATCTCCATCTGATCTTCACTTCCAGACAAATTAATTTAGAAGATATGGACTGTTTATTTTGAAAGTGGTGTAAGTCCATTTTTTTCTTTCAAGATATTCAAACATTTTCATTTTAGTTGATTCAAAAATATAAATAAAGTGTACTAAGTTTGACAATGTTTCTATGACTTTAGGAATATGTTAGTTGATTGCATAAAGACTTCTACGTGAATTTAACTAAACTAATATATTCTTTCTGGGCTATAAATGGACTTATGCTACTTTCATAATTATTGAACTATAAAACTCAATTTCACTTGAAACACATTGTGTTTTATTCTGATTTTGTTTATATATAATAAGAAGAAATAGTGTTGTTTATTCTGAACATTAAAAATATTTACTTACTTACTGTTAAACTATTTTATGATAAGTTTATCATTATTATGAGCTTACCATTAGACACTGCTTTTCATTTAGGTTTATTACATGGATTTTTTTCCATTCCATCAAATTGTACATTTGTTGATGATGATCATAGTTTTACTCTTCTGTTGTAAGGGGCTGTCCATAAATGATATCCACACCGGAAGGGAGGGAGTTAAGACAAGTCGAACAAGGGGGTTGAGCATTAGTGGATATCCATTTATTTCATTAAATTTTATGCATTTTTTATATTTATTCCAAAGTTTCTTGTATGTTTCATTTCTACTTATGGTATCTATCATTCATAAAGTGATGAAGGTTTTAATGGGGGTTGAGTTATGTTGGACATCCAAAGAGGAGAAGGGGTTACAAAAACTTGGACAAACTGGGACAAGAGGGGGGAGTAAAAGTTTCGAGGAAAATGCAGATGTAATTTATGGACAGCCCAAGTGCTTAATTACACTGCAAAAATGGACTTACACCACTTCCATAATCAATGGTTATGCAATGTCATTTACCAATGAATATTTAATTGATCAAAGTTTATGGTTATTTTAAAATGCTAAGTGTGAATTGTTTATAAATAAAAAGTTTACACTAAATTGTTTGTATATTATGTGATTTCTCAATTTTTTTCAAAAATGGACTTGCACCACTTTCAAAATAAACAGTCCATATCCTGCTTAACATTATCAGTTATTTGTACTTATCCTTGTTATCAGTATAGGCAAGCCCCAAAGTGATGAGAATTTTATTTTATGTTAATCACACTACTTGATGTCTTAAATTTTCTGATGGTGTAATTTTTGTATTTTTATTTTATACCAAAGAACAAAAGTTTCTCATGTTCATTTTATAAAATTATTTATCTTTTGTTAAACAATTTTATAGAATGATATGAATGAGAGATACAAGTTATAAAAATAGCTATAAATTTAAGTTAACTTAGACTTAGAAGAAAAATTAAATTAACTAAAAATTTAGTAGTGGATGAATCATCAGATAGCCATTGTATGTGCAATACATAATAATTTGAAGATTTTTTTTTCTCTTTTCAGATTGTATCATTTATATTGATTGGTGTTGCAGCCTATGGAACAGCAGCTAGCATTGTTACCAATATTGCTATTATTGCAGCAATTATTGGATGTGGTGTATTCCTGTTTTTACTTTCATTACTGGGTCTGATTGGTGCAATCAAGCATCATCAAGTATTGCTCTTCTTTGTATCCTTTAAAAATTATATAATTGTCTTAACATCATTTTACAGGTGTATAATTAAAACTAAAAAGCAAATTAATCAGGACTTGTCGTTTATGTGTAGAGCTTTGTAGTAGAAAAATTGCAGACCGCTGTTAATTAACTATGGTTCTTTCACAATAGTTTTATATTCATGCCATTTCTATGTGAACAAGTATATATATATATAACATATAAAGTGTGAATGAATTAATATATATTTGCCTAAGAATGCACAAACAAAATATTTCTTAATTTATGTGATGTAACTTCTGTGGAGTTTTTACAATATTTATAAGTGAATGAATGAAAACTCCTCATTTTACAATGTGTTTTGAAATTTAATTAGCAACATTATATGTCAGTTATTTATGTTTGTAATGAACACAATGCAATTCACTCAGTTTCCAATTAATATCCAATTTCATACTAAAGTCAAACGATTGCTAAATTATATTGGGCTTATATTACTACTATACTATTATTAATTAAATGCTATGTAATTTGGCACTAGAGGCAGGTGTTAGGTACCATTTCATGCTAAATTTAATAATTATAATTAAATTAATATTTTAATAATTTAGAAGATTCTGGAAGAAAAGAATTGGCCTAAAGTGGGACTCGAACTTGCAACTCCTGCTTACCATGCAGTCGTATTACTGGTTACACTACCCAAACCTTTGTCTGATCCTTGCTTCTAGAACCTATTACAGTGGAACCCCGGTTAACGATCAAATCGGTTAATGAACTTTTATTTTGCAAAAATTTTGTCTCGGATAGCGAACAAAATTCGGATAACGAACGGTATTTTGTGTCAAATTTTAGTTGGTGTTAGGCATGTGCGAGTTAAGCATTGCTTTTCCGAATGTTTGTGCTATACTTCTTTTTTCAGTTTTGTGATTTATATATTTAATCAATATGGCATCAAAGAAAGAAAAAAGTCATAGTGGCAATAGAAAACGACAACGCGCTATCGCATTTGAGAACGATTTTGCTTAAAAAAGTAAGACAATAAACTTTAGATCAATTTTTTGTTCCTTACGGAAAGAGTTTGTTTGTTTGTTAAGTTATGGCAACGCAACACTTAGGCGATCTGCCTAGGGGAATGCCTTCTGGGAGGTGTTTTTAAGGGAAACTGGCCCCTATTTAGGTGTTACAGTCGTGGAGAAAACCCGGAAAACTCCACGTGGCCAGCCCGTTTGAACGAGGTGCGAACCCACGAACGAACTCCCCCGTGTTCAAGGTACGAAGACCACTTAGCCACTGGTGGGGGTTTTTTTTTTTACCGAAAGAGACTTCGACTGGAAGAATCTTCCAATGAAGTGCTACCCGTTATTTTTTGGAGGGGATTCCCCTTCTAAGCATTAAGGTTCGTACATCTCCACTTTTCTGCCACCAACTACAACAAATGAAGGTATGTACAGTGCTATTTTATTAAACAAAGTTTACATGTTTGTTGCTGTAACGATAGATACTACGTTTTCTTACATTTTCATCAAAGAAAATTACTGTATATTACAAATAAAATCACAAAAATTTCGGAGACTAGAACAGATTAATTGCATTTGCATTAATTTCTATGGGAAAAATTGCTTCGGTTAACGAACGGAGTCGCGGAACGGATTAAGTTCGTTAACCGGGGTTCCACTGTAATTTAGATATAACCAAACTCAGTTATTTACTGCACCACCCAAAGATGACTCAGTACCTACAGCCTATAACTAACTCTCGCTCACTGTGATGGCTGGCACTCAGTCAGCCATCACATCTACCATGACATGGCATATATATACATATACAAGTATAAACATCCAAATCCAGTAGTTATATATTACAGCTAAATGATTGCTGATTATATCAGGCTATATTACTAATACTTTGGCAATTGTTTGGCTCTAATACATTCTTTCCAATATTAAGTTAATCAACATTACTCTGCTTCTTTCCAATATTAAAGAGTAAGGTAAAAAGTCTGTCATATTTGGTACAAGTGGCAGTCACTACACCTATGATTAGTTTAAAGATGAACTCCCATCACTACTACTGCACTGTAGAAATTTTTATATCCAGTAATCCACTTTTTCACAAATTGGCTGAAAGTGTTAGCTTAAATAAATACATCTGTTGCTGGTTACATTCATTGTGAATGTATAAATGCAAATTGATGTAAAGATAACTGCAAAGTTCTTAAAGTAACAAGGTTCATTACACAAAAATTATTTGTCATTGTTTGAAGTACTATTTTATTAATTTTAAATTAAACTTTTTAATAGTTACTTTTTACAGATGTGAATAGATTATTTATATGCTGTATTATTAATTTAATGCTTCTGATGGCTTCAATAATTATTATTTAAAATTTTTAATTAGTATTTTTTCTTAACTTTTTCAATAGTATATGGTTATTCTGTTTCTTTTATTTGTTGTTCAGTTCAGCATAGCTTGTGCTTGTTTAGCTTTCAACAAAGAACAGCAACGTGAAATGGCAGAAAAAGGATGGAGGAAAGCTTCGTTTAAAATTAAAGGAGAAGCACAAAGAATGTTTCATTGTTGTGGTTTTGTAGAGCGAAATGTTTCAGATGCATCGATGAAAGGACCTGATTGCAAAGAAGTATGTTTTATAAATTTATAAAAGCTTTGTATTTAATTTTGTGGTATTTAAAATTGAATAAATGAGATGATAATTGTATTAAAATGATATATAGAAAGAACTGAATATTTTAAACTTTTTACAGTCAGTTATTTAAAAATTGTTTATACTTTTATTAAAATTTATTTATTTTTTAACTTTCATTTATTCTTGAAATCATTATTTATCATTAGTGTGTATTTATTGGTATAAATGTTTTAAAATTGCTTTAAAAGCCAATTTACTTACATTATTTCTGAATATAATAAAATATCTGGAGACTGTTCTAATTTTTCATTACTATTTCATACAAATTATTTAGGAAATTAAACATTTTCTGGTATTAATTCTATAGAAACAATTTGATGTTTTTTCCCAATTTTCTTTCTTTATGAAGACCTTTATCTTTCTATATTGAATATGCAATAACAAATAAGATTTTTTTGAAACCTTTCTGTAATTTAATTGGATTAAAATTTCTTGCTTACTACCTATCTTATATTATTATCCTATAAGAATATTTATAAAAGAGAGCTTTCATTCAAATTCTAAATATTAGGTATACAATGTAGGTTGTATATAAACATTAACTCAAAACCTGATTTATAGTTAAAGTCAAACAAACTGCTGAATTATAGTCTGATAATTCAGCAGTTTGTTTGACTTTAAATTATATATAATTACATAAAATATATTGGGTTGTTCAAAAAATAATTTTTTTTTTTCTGTGGAAAAAGCACAATATTTTTATAATAAATAAATATTTTATTGAATTATATATCGACCATTTTGGTCATACCTGTTGTCATTGTTTCTGGTAGGAGCACGATTTTACATTCATAAAAGTTTTGATCGTTGCTTACAAAAAAATGATCCAAGTGATTTTTGACATTGTCATTTCAAGTAAATGTCTTACAGTTAAAAAAAACTTGTAATAGACCGGAACAAGTACTAATCTGAATGTGCTCGATCTGGCGAATATGGTTGGTGTGATAGCACTTCCCATCTAAGTTATAACAGTTTCTGACGAGTTACCAAACTTGTGTGAAATTTGACATTATCGTGGTAAAACACTACACCTGTTTTGTTGATCAATTCTGGCCGCCTTTTCTGTTTGATGATATTACTCAATTTGTTTACTTGATGGCAGTACACTTTCGAATCAATTGTTAAATTGTCTGGTAAAAGCTCCAAAAAAAAATTTCCTTAAACTCTCACCAAAGAGAGCATCTCTCTTTAAGAACTTGTGGAACCCATATAGCTTTGAAATGAAACCAATTTGTTTGAAGTAATCATAAACAGTTCAATTTGACAAATTTAATTTCTTAATGATTTTACATATTGTTATTCGGCAGTTTGCTTCAATCAGTACCTTTATTTTGTTTTCATTGTCTTTGTCTAGCCATCCAGAACGTGGTGCATCTTTAATATTGAAATTGCCAGAATGAAATTTTGTAAACCAGTTTTGGCACTGTCGTTCTGTCAATACATCTTCTCCATACACGTCACACAATTTTTTTTCTCGCTTGAACAGCATTCTTACCTTTTCAGTAATAAAAGAGCAAAATATGCCGAAAATGCTGCTTTCGATCTTCCATATTTGATGGGACACAAAAAATAAACAATTGCACAAAATCAAACAAAATTTTTTACAAATAAGCTTTAAAATGCTAGCTGTGAAAATATACAATGATAATACGGTTTAGAATGAAAATGGTGGGAAAAATACGACCAGTCTAGTGGTAAAAAGAAAAACGAAATTACTTTCCAAACAACCCAATAGTATGGATAATTATAATATTGAAAATTTAGCAAGTTTTGTCAGTGGTTGTGTGTGTAAATTTTGATGACCTAAATTATTATATACCATGTGTTCTTTAGCTAAGTGTAATATATGAAGAACTAATTTCCATAAAGATGTAAGTGCATATGGAAATAAGGACCATATGCACTTACATCTATATGGAAATAAACTACAGTAGAAAGAATACACATCCATTTGTAAACAAATGAGGCTATTTTTCCTAATGTACAGTATATGGGCCTATTGATACAAACTTATTACATAAACAGTAGAGCTTGCAATGAGTAATATTACTGAATTAGTTCAAATGTCACAAATTTGGTTCTTAATTTATTTAGAAATAAGCTTCTCATTCATATATTGATCATAGGTAAATTGTTGTTTTCACAGTCTTATAATTTTTACAGACTTGAAAACAGTAGACGCTACATTTGTAAGTGAAAAATTGATATGGTAATGATTGAAATAAGAGCTATATAAAAATAAGAAGAAGTTTCATATTTTTAAAAAGTCTTAATTTTCTGAAGTTTTGATATATTGAGATGATGTACTGTTTATTCCGTGCTGTTATTTCTCATTCTGTTTTTATGGATAATATAGTGTATACCTAAAAATGACAAGCTATTAAGAAATAAGTTTTTCATGAGAACAAGAAATTTAGTCTATATATATAAAAATGAATGTGTGTGTGTGTGTGTGTGTCCTTCATGCATTACCACACCGTTTATCCGATTGCCATGAAACTTTGGAAAGTTGTTTAATATACTCCAGCGAAGGTTTGTGGCATAGTACGATTGCCATGAAACTTCGGAAAGTTTTTTAATACACTCCCGCGAAGGTTTTTGGCATAGTACATTTATCCTACGATAGATGACGCGCGTTTACACGAGCATTCGAGCACAGTGTGTTCGATCGATTTCAAATTGTGAAGACCATTTCCCCCTTCAAAAAATATCTCTATATATGCATTTGTGAACTGTTATTTACGATATTTGTAATAATTTTTGTTTAATCACTTTATTTCAACTTTCTTTTTTGCTAATTATGTATTCACTCGAACGTCGTTAAAACCTCAACTGTACCCCGAACAACAATCGAAGTTGTAGGAGGAAATTCGCGTATTTTACCGATCTAGGTATCCCCCCTTTTCCAAATTTTAATATCGACTCGAAATAATAATGTAATAATAATAAGTTTTAATAAAAATTATAAAATGTAAATTGAATTTTGTCATAACGAGTTTGCTTAAATTTCCTTTCTTCTGAGATCGCAGCAATGCGCGACGGGTAAGCTAGTTAGTTAATATTTTTCAAAACAGTAAAGCTTGATAATGCAACTTTATATCCATCCACAGAATTGACATAATATAATATCAAGAAAATTAATTTTAACTAATTAGATTTCACGCTAACAGCAGATTATTCTTGGTCAAACAAGTTAGTTAGCCAATTAGTCGGTAGCACAGAATCAGTTAATAAGATTTTAGAAAACGAAAGGAATGTGCTATTTGACTTTGTACATATCATTCAGAAACTACTAATAACAGCATTACCTTTACATTCTGTTAAGTTATGTTTTTATTTCCAGTCTAGTTATGTTTTTATTTTCTTTGTTTTTAAGGAATTAAATATAATTTGGATGAATAATAATAATTCTAAATCTTGGAAATTATACTTCATAGATTAGAATTTATTCTTCAAAATATTTTTTTTAAATTAAAAATGATATTCTTCAGAGACATTTTAAGAATAAAAACAAATTTATATTATTCAGCAATTTGTAGTAATTACAAAATTTCAAATCTAAATTTCACTAGGTTACAGTTTGCTGCAACGACCAACAATGTAATTGCCCACCTTGTTATCTAAAACTTCAAGATGAAATTGATTATGCTTTAAAAATCAGTGGAGGTATTGGCTTATTTTTCAGTTTTACAGAGGTGAGTATTGATTGTTTATATTTTAATTTGATAATTAATCTCTATAATAATCCGGTTGTTCTTCTGAAACTGCTGTAATCCATACAGCATACTTCATTCTGATTATTATTGAAATAATTCTCATGTTTTAATAAAATATATTTGCAAACTTAAATAAAATTTTCACACAAGCTGGTTGGAAGTATCATTGTCCTGCACTTTTGAACTTAACTGGCTAAATGTAGAGATGAAATTAAAACATCCAACAAACACCTAAATGATCGGGCTACACTTTGGCTATTTATAAATAATTAATACAAAGTAATTTGCCACTAGAAGTAGGTGTCTAACGTCTACCTCTAGTAGAAATTAACAGTAGAAAATAATTAGAAGTATTTACTTTTGAATAATAGGGATAATTTTATTCAAATAATCAATCAGTGAAGTACTAAAAATAAATTGTAATTACAGTAGTTAACTTTAAGTCCTTTGATTTTTTTGTCATGAATAGAGTTTTAATTTACTTAATCTTACTTTCATAAATTTTAAGTTCTGAATATTGTTTTTACAAATATTTTATGTATTATTTTCATGTATTCATTTTTATTTCATTATTTCATTATTCATAGAGAAGTTTCAAATGTAGATTTAATTAAAAAGCTATATTTGAAATTGTTTACAAATATAAAAACTTTTTAAAAGTTTTTGCTTTCTTGTTGGGGATTATTTTCAACTGTTTTTATGAGTTAACTCTTAAACAGATATAAACATAATAAAAATCTAAAATTCTTTAACTAAACATTCCTTATAATATACTAAAACAATCTTTAATTAATTTAACAAAATATTTTTTAAAATATGTTAGTTCATGAAGTGCTGTATGCCAAGTGAACATGGTCTGTTTAGGAAATAAAATATAAATTAATATTATATATTTACACAATAGTAGCTAGTAGTTATATTACTTGTAGAGTAAATTGTATTGAAAATGTTTTTAAATTTATATCGGCAGTTGCATATAATTAAACCCATCTANCTCGAAATAATAATGTAATAATAATAAGTTTTAATAAAAATTATAAAATGTAAATTGAATTTTGTCATAACGAGTTTGCTTAAATTTCCTTTCTTCTGAGATCGCAGCAATGCGCGACGGGTAAGCTAGTTAGTTAATATTTTTCAAAACAGTAAAGCTTGATAATGCAACTTTATATCCATCCACAGAATTGACATAATATAATATCAAGAAAATTAATTTTAACTAATTAGATTTCACGCTAACAGCAGATTATTCTTGGTCAAACAAGTTAGTTAGCCAATTAGTCGGTAGCACAGAATCAGTTAATAAGATTTTAGAAAACGAAAGGAATGTGCTATTTGACTTTGTACATATCATTCAGAAACTACTAATAACAGCATTACCTTTACATTCTGTTAAGTTATGTTTTTATTTCCAGTCTAGTTATGTTTTTATTTTCTTTGTTTTTAAGGAATTAAATATAATTTGGATGAATAATAATAATTCTAAATCTTGGAAATTATACTTCATAGATTAGAATTTATTCTTCAAAATATTTTTTTTAAATTAAAAATGATATTCTTCAGAGACATTTTAAGAATAAAAACAAATTTATATTATTCAGCAATTTGTAGTAATTACAAAATTTCAAATCTAAATTTCACTAGGTTACAGTTTGCTGCAACGACCAACAATGTAATTGCCCACCTTGTTATCTAAAACTTCAAGATGAAATTGATTATGCTTTAAAAATCAGTGGAGGTATTGGCTTATTTTTCAGTTTTACAGAGGTGAGTATTGATTGTTTATATTTTAATTTGATAATTAATCTCTATAATAATCCGGTTGTTCTTCTGAAACTGCTGTAATCCATACAGCATACTTCATTCTGATTATTATTGAAATAATTCTCATGTTTTAATAAAATATATTTGCAAACTTAAATAAAATTTTCACACAAGCTGGTTGGAAGTATCATTGTCCTGCACTTTTGAACTTAACTGGCTAAATGTAGAGATGAAATTAAAACATCCAACAAACACCTAAATGATCGGGCTACACTTTGGCTATTTATAAATAATTAATACAAAGTAATTTGCCACTAGAAGTAGGTGTCTAACGTCTACCTCTAGTAGAAATTAACAGTAGAAAATAATTAGAAGTATTTACTTTTGAATAATAGGGATAATTTTATTCAAATAATCAATCAGTGAAGTACTAAAAATAAATTGTAATTACAGTAGTTAACTTTAAGTCCTTTGATTTTTTTGTCATGAATAGAGTTTTAATTTACTTAATCTTACTTTCATAAATTTTAAGTTCTGAATATTGTTTTTACAAATATTTTATGTATTATTTTCATGTATTCATTTTTATTTCATTATTCATAGAGAAGTTTCAAATGTAGATTTAATTAAAAAGCTATATTTGAAATTGTTTACAAATATAAAAACTTTTTAAAAGTTTTTGCTTTCTTGGGGATCATTTTCAACTGTTTTTATGAGTTAACTCTTAAACAGATATAAACATAATAAAAATCTAAAATTCTTTAACTAAACATTCCTTATAATATACTAAAACAATCTTTAATTAATTTAACAAAATATTTTTTAAAATATGTTAGTTCATGAAGTGCTGTATGCCAAGTGAACATGGTCTGTTTAGGAAATAAAATATAAATTAATATTATATATTTACACAATAGTAGCTAGTAGTTATATTACTTGTAGAGTAAATTGTATTGAAAATGTTTTTAAATTTATATCGGCAGTTGCATATAATTAAACCCATCTATTTTTAAAAGCACTTGTATTCAAAATTTCAGAGAATAGAAGTGACTTTTAAATTTGCCATAAAAATAATCTCTCTTATGCATTTTTATTGCAGTTTATTGGTGTATGGTTGACTGTACGCTACCGTAACCAGAAAGATTCACGAGCTAATCCTAGTGCTTTTCTCTAAAACTAACTTTTATTTTGTTGGCAGAGGTAAATGGTTGACTTTGAGTATAAATAATTAACATATTAATTAATATATTCTTATTAATTTCTTTAATAAGTAATAAATATTAACATTAACAAACTTCTTTGTTTTCTGTTGTTTTAAATATAATTTTCTTTTAATTTTCAAAGAAGTTATTTTTATGTACTAATGCAAAATAACTTTTTAATCTATTTCTATAAATTAACTCATAAAACTGTGGTATTTGTGTTCTTTTTAAACTTTGATTTAAATTGAAACAGTAGAGTAAGTTTCAATTCATTATTTTACTTTACTATCAATAAAATAGCTTTAACACACTCCTTTGCATTGAGAGATGACCTCACTATGTGAATGCTCCAAATACTTTATTAACTTCACTTTGACTGCCATTTAACATCGGCTATAAATTGGCAATAATAATAATAAATCACTAATAAATTTGACCCTAGAGGTAGGTGTTAGATATTATCTCATATTAAATTTAATAATTATAATTTAATTAAATAATTTTAGATTAAACTGGAAGAAATGAATCAGCCCAGAGTGGAACTCCAATCCACAACTCCTTGCCATATGGACATGTTGCCAAATACCTGGATCTCAGATCCAATCTCCTCTTCCAGTATATTTAACATTATGATATAACAATTGTCAGTTACTACATCTAAAATTATTTAATTAAATTATAATTATTAAATTTAATACAAAATTGCATCTAACATCTTCCTTTAGGGTCAAATTTATTAGTAAATTATTATTATTATCGCTAATTTATAGCCCAATGTTATACGTCAATTGAAGTGTTATAGCAATGCATCTAGTTTAGTAAGTTGTTTATACTTAACTTTTCATTTTTACAGAATTATTTGGAACTGCGTAGTAGTAGATGCTTCATGGTAATTTCATTAATTTGGCCAAAGTAACTGTCCATTTTTCTGAGGAAGTTCATTCAAAAAAATAACTGATTGGCTGATCTTTTTTCAATAAACTTATAGGCATTTTAGAAACACTTATTATTATTCTATTTGGAAGTTTTGATGATGTACATTACAAATATTTTTGAAGAAAATATTATTTTAATTAATGATAAGAGTGAAATAATCGGCAAACAACTACCTGAATTTTTACTTGAGTATATGCTATCTGAAATATGTATCAGCTTTTAGTAAGTTTAAAATATGATTACATAAAGATCTGCTCTTGACATCATTGAAGAACTTTTAATAGTTCTTACTCTTAGTTAATGCTCAATTTTTTTTTAGTTGAAGAATATTTGTTGTAACAATCAAAAGATCCTTCTGTTTTTCCATTCAGAATCTAAAAGCTATTAGAATTAAGTTTATGCAAAAACTTTCCTTCTCTTTCTAATTTATTCTTCATGTTATTTTAGTTTTTGATAGTGCTTTTCATTATCAACAATGCATTCATGTATATTTTTGTTCATCTGTGTTCATTATTACAGTTGTCATTAAATATTTTATGAATACTTCAAAGTGGTAGTAATTTAATTTTTATAACTAGTAGTTATAAGTCAGAATCATAATTTATACAAGGGTAATTCTTATATATAAAAATTTTTTGATTCTGTAAATGCAAAGACAATTTCTTTCAGTGGTTAATGCAGTAGTAAGAGTTTACCACAATGGCTTGCTTAAAAATATTGTTAATAAGTATTTAAGTATTATCATTTTAAGTAAAAATCAACTGTAGAATAGCACATTCATAGTATATGGATACTCCTGTCTATGATATTTTAATTTTCAATTTCTTAAAAAAAAAAAACATTGGAAAAGAATTCTCTTTGTATTCTGATATGCATATTTGTAATGAATGCTGTAATATAGGACTGTTGTCAAAGTAAAAGTAGAACAAATGAAGGTAATTATGGTGTCATGGATTTTCCCTAACAGTATATCACTTAAAAACATTTGTTTCCACAAATATGTATCAAAATTCATTCTCTCATTTTATTTGCATTTATGCATTATTTATAAATCTATGTATATAAATGAGATTGAATTGTTTGTTAGTTTGCTATACACTCCTAGGCTGTTTGACCAATTGCTATGAAACTCTTTATTTCTGAATGGTACTTTCTTAATTTTAATAAGTAGCTACAGTAGCTGAGTGGATAAAACCACCAAACACTGAGGGCCGATTGCAGAGACAAAGTTTAGAGTCCGACGATGGTTTACAGATCGGGTAGACCGCTGTTCAGAAAAATTTCATTGCAGAGACGGCGTTTCTCACCTGCCACAATGTAGACAGCGATTAGAAACAAGTTATTTGACCTACTTTCTAGACTCTGTGGACAGCAGGTTTAGAGGGCTTTTCAATTCGAGTGGTAGCTTTGTTCGTGGAAAAGTTTAGATAAAAACAGACATCGTTTCTTTGATAAATGTTGTAAACGGTACGAATCGACAAAATTACTCATTAATTAATTAACTGCTCGGAACAAAAACAACAAAATGAAATACTTTAAATTTGTTTTAAATGTTCCAATTTCGATATTCAAATGGGTGAAGACTTAAAACTACAATTAAATCAGATGCATTTATTTACAATTTGAGTATCGTGTCGGTTATAAAACGTTAATGCATTTCGGGGTCGTTGTACTGTTAAACAAACGAGACAATTTTAATAATTACAGAAATCTGTTTATAGATAAAAAAATGTAATATTAATAATAAAATATTTAAAATTATTCATTTCGACAGTAATAAGATGTCGAAATAATTCCTTAAAAATCTATTCCGAAGACGAATTTCGAATTCGGTATAAATTTTCTAAATATGGATTTGTTCATATTTTAAATCGTATTGGCGACGAAATTAAATATCGAAATGGAAAAGGATTGTCATTAATTGCCGAACAATGATTTTGACGGCCTTAAGCTTTCGGAATATAGCTGACGACCATTTCTGACGTCACGAAGAAATAACCCGATTGGCCGAACGACTCCTAAAACAGGGGAGTAATAGCGAAGTAAGTAAGAGCCAATGTTTTACCGAAGTTCGTTTAGAGAACGGTCAGAAATAGACGATCATCGTCTTTTCAATGCATTTTAAGCTGCGGTTCAGCCAGCCAACGGCTATAGGCCGTTCGTTGATAAACGTCATTTAATGTAAACTCCGTCTCTGCAATCGGCCGTGATAGTTAGTTAGTCATGGGTTTGGGCATGGTGAACAGTGGAATTTTCCAAGGAAGTTCATTCAAAAAAATAAATTAGTAACACCTAATTAGGATTACTAACTTATTTAAACCTAGGATCCAGCTTCCCATAAAAGTCTTTCCGGGATGCATCTCCTTCAGCAGATCACTCACATGTTGCATTGTCATAACCAAATAAACCAAACTAATTTTAACAAGCAATTATTTATTGTGACATTGTCACAATGCCTGACTGCAATTTTTCGTTACATTGTTCTTCTAGAGGTGTCTTGCCTCTATACATTATGCTTTTCCTGTTAGCAATAGTCCTGCCAATCATCTAACTAACTCTGTTCAGGGGAAAAATTTGAATTAAAGTAATGTGACTTCTGGTGCAAACTAGAAGTTCATTTATAGTTAATCTGGGCCTCCTGTCCCTAAGCTTTCATTGTCTTGTCTCATCTTTATCTAACTCCTTTTTCAAGACTAAGGAAAGACAGACAACATGAGAACAACAGTGGGAACTTACATATCTACAATTTTTTCAAATTGCAGCCCAATAATTTTTTTATAAATGCAGTATTTATGAGAACATTCTTCCTGTGTAGTTTATATTTTTGCAACAGATTGTATAAATACATTATCATCATCTAAAAATGGCAGAATTCCTTTCATAAGATTTTTTTTTTATTTAAACATGTCATATGAAGGCTTTTGAACATTAAGGTTAACAACTTTGATCACATGCGGAGTCATCACAATCTGTCTAACATGGATTACTTTTCAAATATTAAAGGTAGACCAGTATTAATTAGTACGCATTGACCATCAGCGACTACTTTTGATCAAATTACTTTCAACTTTCTTCTGCAATACTCCTTTCTTTCCATTGGACCAGTGGCATGATGGCATTTGAATAGGAAAATTACATAATATGAGATTACCATCGAGCAGAAAATTGTTTTCAAGGATTCTGAGTTTAAATATTTGGTCCATTTTTTGCAAAATTTAATCGGTTGGCAGATTACCATTTCATATTCAGCTGTGGTTGGTACAGTTTCTTAGAGTTAACATTAGAAAAAAATTTAGGATGTCTTAAAAAATTTAAGAACATATTTTCAATTGGTGTTTACTTGATCAATGAAATTGTGCTATTTCATACCATCTGAGTATTGCGATAAGCATGACAATGGTAGGCTGAAATAACCAAACTCTTCATATGATGATTGTTTTATTATAATATTTGATTTATATAACTACACAGGTTATCTTACATAAGGGTTTATCACACCGAGTGACCAATCTAACACAATTTAAAAGTTTATTATTATTCTACTGTAAACAATTTAAAGAATTTTTAAAATGTGTTAGATTGGTCACTTGGTGTTATAAACCCTTACATAAGAAAACCTTTGTAGTTATGTTATAATATAATATAGAAGGGTTAGAATTATGAAATAATGTTAATTTTTTTTTATTTTTTGCCCGGGTAATGCTGGGCTCATCTGCTAGTTACAGTATATGACAAATAAACAGAAATAAACATTTTATAATATCAATAGAATTTACTTTAATAATAATAATTATTTAATTTTCAAATTCGATGTTAGAATTGTAGGTTTGGCAATAATGTTAGTTTCCTATGTTTTACATAATGTGCTAGTATAACATCACTTGAAATTAAATAAAACTTTACAAATGTTGAACAATGATTTTGATGGTTAATTATGAAAAATTACTTATGGTCTTGAAATACTAAATCTACAAATACCTTAAGTGGAGTTTACTCTTAATCATTTTAACTCATGATTTGTTTTAAAGCTATGCACGTATCTATAAGCCTTTTATTGATGTGTGTTTCATCACACTATACAACAAAGTTACAAACGTTTTTAAACTGTTATGGTTCTTCCTCAGGTAACGATCTCATAACGGATTGTGCTTCAATTCAAAGTTGTTAAGAAATACGATCCAGAACGTTGTCCTGACCCAATGACTTCAATACGGACCTGCACGCTATGCATGCTGTGTTTTACCTTACAGTTTGTAACTTTGTTGTATAGTGTGATGAAACGCGCACTGGTAAAAGGCTTATAGATACGTGCATTTTACAGTAATCCGGTGTAGATATTCTACCATTTTTGTTTTAAAGCTTTCATGATATATATTTTTTTCCAACAACTGTATTCATTAAGTCAATTTGGTATAAACCTTAATAAGGAAAAATACTTAAAGAAGTATAAAAGATACAAAAAATAATAATACTAAGTATATCTGTTGTTAATACAAAAAACTGGCAAAACTAAATATTCTAGTACTTATCTTGAAAATATTAGAGAGAGAATTATTGATTTTATTCTTACTTATTCACTGCAGCAGAGCTGCTTTTGTGTGTTCTGAAGATGAGCATTTAAATTTTAAAAGATCATTTAGTCTTGCTGCTTTTTTTATACAGGGCCTTCCAAAATAAATGCTACCATTTCAAATTATTATAATTGTTAATTGTTAACTGAGAAGTATTTAATGTACATCAATTGATGGAGTAACTGTCTTTAGTTTTATCTTTCATTACATTCAAACATCTTGCTGTATACTACCTCTAGGAAGAATCATAAATGAAAATGGTGACACTGCAGCAAACAATGTTGTGTGTTCTGTGAAGGCAAAGATTTATTCCAGAGAGTCAGAATCACTCATCATTATGCAACATGAGTAATCTGCAGGAGCTATAAAATTGTGTCTACTGTGGGAGGAGTGACAATGGATATGCTATAGCAAACATAGGAAGAATTTGAGTATTGGTTGGATGTGTGCCATGTGACATAAGGTACACACATTGAGAAATTGTAATGGACAAATGTAAACCTTGGACAGTTTTTCAATGTTGTAATATATAATGTTGTCAGATAATAATTAACATAATTTACAATATATTTAACTAAACCTTTAACTTCCAGTAACAAGAATTTTTAATGTAAAAATTTCTGACTAACCAAAGTCTGCCTCGGTCATCGACGATATTTTAAAATTAAAATGTGCAGAACACAGTTTTCAATATATTTTTAAATAAATAGAACAAAAACAATGTTGTAAAATAACAAACAATTAAGCGGTAGTAAATATACAATTAAATCAGATATAAATAGAAGAAATAAAGTAGTAATAATTATTATTAATTTATGTCAGCAATTCCCAGTTTTTCATATGCCATTTTCTGCCCATTCCAATTTTGGAATATCATTGATGACCTGAGGCAGACTTTAGTTAAGGTCGAAAACATTTATCAGAAATTTTTCCTGGGAGTAAAAGGTTTAGTAATTCGTTCTAGTACTGAGGAGAAGGGTAATTTCATAGTTACACAGTTTAAAATGGTGGCATTCTTTTTGGAAGACTGTATTTTATAGTTCATTAAATTATTTTTTCCTTGATATGTTTTAACATTTTAAGATGCAAATAATGTTTCATTTCAAGTGCAGTACAATTTGTCCTTGATTTATCTAAGTTATTTCATGATTAAAAATAGTTTTCATTTACAGTTAATTAATGATATAATTATTTGCAATATTTTCTAGTATGAATTTGTAAGATTTATTGTTGTTTTAATTTTTAGGTCTTAACAATCTGGGTAGCATACAGATATAGATCAAGAAGGGATCCACGTGCCAAACCTCATGCCTTTTTATGATTGTGAAATATTTATTTTCATCATGTTATTAAATTTAATTCATCAAATGTTTTTGTTTTTCCATAATATATATATTATGCAGCATTCACTCATGTTTTGATTCACTTAGAAAGTGTGTGTAAAATAAATACATAGTAGTTTTGCATTGAAACTTTTTATATGCTTCTAATTAATGATATATATATATATATAAACAGTATATATAATTAATTTCAGTAAAATACATCTGAAACATTTTCAGATTTCCTAATTGATATTTTTTGACACTTAAACTGCTACTATTCAAAGCTTCACTGCTGATATTAAATATACAGCACATCTTAATGTAGATGATACTATAACTGACAAATCGCAAATAAAAATATACGGTTTCAAGTTCTCTTCACTAGTGATGTGAATATTGTGTAAATTGTTGAAAATTATGTGCACTTTTAAACTAAAATGATGTACTTAATTTCAATATGTCTCACTAAAAGAAATACAGTGAAATTTTTCTATGTTTATGCATGGTTAAATTAAATACTGTAGTTAACTTTCAGGGTATTCTTTTTAACTGGAGTTAATTGGTTAACTTTTTTCAGAATTTGATCAGTTGCTCAATGAGGCTATTTAATAATAAGTCTCATAAACAGGTGTGTTGAATAATTGAAAACAATTCTAGCCTCTACCAGCAGAAATATTTTATCTATCGAATGCTTTTAGCCGACTGGACAGCCATCATCAGGATCAAGACTAATAAGAAATTGGAATGGGGAATATAGAATTTATACAATTTTAAAATTTTGTCTTAGAATTGCCTCAGGGTATTAGTATTAACATTATTGTCAATGCACACTATTCTCAGCAAGTTTATTCCTTTGTCAAAGTTAATTGCAATATAAAATAAATTGAAAAAGAATAGTTATTAATGTGATAGCAATTAGCAAATGATGATTTGACACATGCTATCTATCACCATAAGTTTTACAGGCATTCTTGATTATTTTCTCTTAGTATGAAAGGTTTGGTTAATTTTGTTGAAGGAAATAATTTCTTTAAAGTATTTTTACATTAAATTCTGGCTATTTTTTTAGTTTCTATTATAAATTTTTAATACATAAAAGGAGAAGAAATATACTATAAACTTTTAATGTAGTTTTTAATTCTTAAGATATCATTAATAATTGATAATTTTGATACTAGTGTTATCTAAAGCAATTTTTCATCAGAATGAAACATCTGTTTGTGCTGTTTAATTGCTATAATTTTTTCCCAGTTGTATCAATTTGTTGTAATCTATGATTGATTAAGCTATATTTAAACAGATATTAAATCATTTTAACTGTATCTTTAGGCCAAGTTACTAATATTGATTTAATATTAGCCTAAATGTAGTCCAATAAAGTCAGTGATTAGATATTTGAATTAATGTTACAGTATAATTGTGTTATTGATTGTAATTATTCTGCATTTTAGATTAAAAAACATTTTAAAGCTAAAACTAAAAAAACATGTTGTATCTTGGAAATGTCTTTCTCTCTTAAGTTCATTGTTTGTGCTGTTTTGTAGGATGATGGGTGGAAATTTTTAGTCCCTGGACATTTCCTATATGTAATTAAAATAAATAAATATGCAGGAATTCATCCAAAAAAGATACATATGCATATACAGAAGTAATAATCAAAGTGATATGAACAACTTTGGCAATTTATTACAGTATAATTAAGATGGATGGGCAAAGATATTTAAAAAAAAGCTTATCTTTTTAAAACAAAAATATTTCTCATTTTTAAACTTTTTACAATACCTCAGTGTGAATCTTGCATGTAACTTTGCAGACATTAATACAGTAATCAAAATTGTCTCTTTTGCAGCTCAATAATAGTTATAACAATATGCTGTCATAACCCTTGCAGATCTGTTGGAAACAGTAAAGGACAGTATATTTATTTTCTTATTTCCATAGAGATTTAAGATGTCTGATCTGTTGTGCTGGCTACTGAGATCATCGAATTCAAGTAATTGAAGTTTGGTCAATTAAGCAATGCAGCAGGTTTTCATTTAGACACTTTTCTCCTGCATTTTTTAAAATGTTATTTTCCTGTGCAAGAAAGTAAGAGCCGTCAGTCAGTATGTCAAGGTAAGAAATGTCTGTTGCTATGTCTTTCATAAAGAAAAGGCTGTACATTTTTCTGGATATTAAACAGCAAGCATTTAGTTTGGAAATTTTCTATTTCTCTTTATATCATTCATATTGATTCCTACCATCTCAGTTTTCATTCATTATTGGAGATTAATACAAAATCAATACTTGTAGCATTCACAGTTTTTAGAAAGTATTGTTAGCCATCTTCAAGAATATCCAAATGGCTTTCTGCAGAATTCAAAGCTCTGCTGATCTTAGTTTCTTAACTTCCTCAAATACAAAGTTAATAAAAGGTCTGATATTTCTTTTATAAATTTGTTACGTGTGTTTCATTGGATATCATCTGTACTGCACTGCCTAGAGTCCAGATTCACAGAAGCATTGTAGTGGAACTTATGACAAATGTTTGCCTTTAGTTGTTATACGACAAAATTTGGTATTCAGAAAAGTTATCATAACTGAAAATGTTATTACTAGGCATCTTTACATTATGAATGGGTTGTCATAAGTTGACAATTTAAGTTGGTGATAAGTATTTAGCTTTCTTGATTGATGAATTACATAGTTCATTGAAAATTTATAATTTGTTTCATCTGTTGATTGAAGACATTTTGTTAATTAGAAAAGATAAAAAATACAAAATACAATAATATAAAAAATATGAAAAGAATATAAAAAATTGAATCTTTAACACAATTTTATAATCATATGACATTACAATAATACGACATATTACAATAATATGTCATATTTATGCTCAGCAAAAAAATAAGTGTTTTGATGCAATTAGTTTTATTTGCTGAGAAAGTGGTGGTTAGTCATATTTGGCTGTCAAATTTATAAAAATAAAGTTAAAAATTTGATTGTGTATGATAAGTTTTAAACAAGGGGCTGGACACAAGGCCACTTGACACTGCTCGCAGTGGTATCTTGTTTCCTATCTCTCTCCTTCTCAGCAATATTAATTATAATAATAAGAACACACCTGAATTCCATTTGCCGAGTTTTTTCTCTTTATTTCAAACATTTTCAGCCTATTTGAATAGGTCATCTTCAGGCTTTCATTCATCTTGTTTCCTTTCAAATTTTTTCCCCTTTTTGTCTCATTTGTTGCAATATACAGCACAGCATCTAGTGGGAGCAGCTTTTCTGTTGGTCGGTGGAATAAAGTCTGGGAAATGTCTTTCCGTAAGTCTAAGTGGACCTGGAGTTCTCTGCCGACCATATTTACTGACCATCGTTTTGGTGTGGTACTCTGCTATTAGCTGTTCTATCAAATTCATCCTAAATGACAAGTTAGTTCTTCCTCCACCATTTTATATATATATATACATAATACTTATGCATTATAAATTGAAATATCCAATAAATGAAAAAATAATTTTTTGTAGTATTTCTTCCCCCATTTTCTCACCATTGGATAATCATGGAGATGCTGATCTAAAAGATCAACCCTCCCATTGTGTTGTTGTAGTCAACAACAAGCTGTGGCTTCATTTTTACACTACCAGTACGCATTTATGTACTACATTCCACAGTCCAACAATGACTGTGGAATGTAACGAGTAGAGTGACAGGTCTCTTGTCCTGCCATTTTACAATCATCACTTTACCTCTTTGCATTGCCACAGTCTCTCCTTGTTTCAATTTTTTTTTGTGGATTATATTTGGAATATCTTTCCTGGTCATATGTAGTGTTCCATAATAATCTGTCTGGCAAGTTATTAGATAATCCACTAACTGTGGGGAAGTATAATAGTTATCCATTGTTAGACAGTATCCTTTGCCTAACAATGGCTCCACTAACAATAACGTGATTTGGGATGATAGTGACATACGTTGTGTTTTTCATTTAGTTGAATGCCTTTTCTGGTATAAATTACAAAAGATGTGAATCCGCATCCAGATACTTGTACAGTTATAAAATTTCACACCAAAACGAGACCATTGAGGGAAATGTACTGCTTCCAAGAAAGATGGCCTTTGAATAAGAGTAGGCTCTTGTCAATGGCAATATTTTTTGTTCTGCTATATAAAAACAGCAGAATTTTGAATTTAAATTTTCTACTAGTGGCCAAATTTTGTTCAATTTCAGATTGGGGTGTGTCTCCAGATCATAACTTTCGTTGTCTGCAAAATGTAAAAATTGTTTTATCTCTAGATCTCTAGTTATATCTTAGACATAATTTACCAAAAATTGGTGTGAGAAATATTTTGCTTTTTTATTTTTTCAACTCATCTATCTGCACCTGTATTTTAGAAGAAATAAAATGATGCCTTCTTTTTCTCTATCTCATTTTATCACTGAAACTCGTGTTGGAGATAACTTGCACCATTTGAAAGTTCCAGACTATATTCATATTGGATGAAACAGTATATTCCCAAAATCAGATCACTGATATTTTGTCATAAATAGTAAATCCAGCTTCATGAATTGCAGATACAATATGTTGTAAATTTGTCATATTTAACTACAATGCGAGAATACGGCATTGCAACTAATGACACTTTCGTGAATCTGGGCCTAGGACTCAATAAATTCAATAAACTGCTTATATACACTTAGGAAAAGTTTGAGTTGGTGCATTCTTGTAAAATCTAGATTGAAATAATTATAAAAATCTATAGAAATAAATCTATACAGTGATTGATTTCTTTATTATGTACACAATGTGATTTTTCTATGAGACATGCCTATATGTATATATATATACTCGTATACACACACACACATTTCATATTAACACTTTGAAATTTTTTATATTCCAATTAGTTCCTATGTATATTGATTAAATTTTTTCACAAGCACCAATAAAACATATACAGTAGCCCCTCGTTGTGTTCCACTTGTGGCACAAACCAAATGAGCAATATATCAGATGGCTCAATATAACTGATGTATCTATCCACCTGGTTTGTCTATTTTTGATCTCTGAGAGAACTGCTTTTTTTATGAGTTGTATTTCATAAAATGGTAGTTTCAAGCTCAATGATTTGTAACATTTCTTTGTCAGTAGAAATTCAATTGTGACTGATACTTTAAAAGTTATTGGCTAAAGCACTTATAATGATAATTGGATCACAAAAAAGCACAGTATGTACTAATGATCAGCATAACAAAGGTTACAGTATTTAATTAGTTTTAACATCTTATTTTCTATGTAGTAATTCTATTTGATTCTTATTTGATGGAAGTATTTACACAATTTTCAAAATTAATTTGGAAGTTTTAAATTATACCTTTTCTTGTTTGTTTTCTAATTTTTTTACATATTACAATATACAATGTGTAAATTATTATATATTGGGCAATTGAATGAAAGAATGAGAAGTTGCACTAGGAGTTTAGCAACACTGCAGTCAGGCTGCAGCATCATCACTCAGCTTATCATACTCAATGTTGACACGTTGGATTTGCAGCATCGTCAAACTTCTCTTATACTTCTTACCAGTTCTTTTATTTAATTATAAGGTATATTTTTAAAAAGATTTTTATATGGCTATTTTTATTTAACATAAATATCTGGAAAGAATGAATTTAGATGTAAGAAATGTTTAAAAATAGATTTGATTTATATATTATCAAGTCATCTTTTAACTCTCTCCATCCTATTGAAATAAGAGGGCAAGATTTATCAGATGTTAAAAAAAAATTGCTATTTTAACGAATGAGTTGCTTGGTTATAAAAAAAAATGTGCCTTTTAATGCAATTTATTTGTTCCATTGAGAATTGCTCTAAAAATTTAGTCATAGAAAAAGTTCACTGTATTTCAGTTACTCTAATTACACACGTTTCGTTTCCAAAAAATAAATTGCAAAGCATATTTATTATTCGGAAAATACTTCATAAGAATTCAACAGTTTTGGCAAATTTTATTTCATAAATAAACAAAAAACAATTATTATATTATACCAATTAATTAATCATTTTAAACCATAAAATGATGCTTTTTTTGTTTTATTGAATTTTATGTTCAAGTTATTCATAAATCTTAATTGTTTCTGTTACACTAAACAATTAATATGCAGTCAAGTCTCCATAATTATGGATTTGTGTTTGTGTGGTCATGAAATCATATAAAAAAATGTCTGCTGCTCACTACATTTACTTTGAAGATGAATGTGTGTGCCCCATTATCGCTATCTCAGCAAATGCCATCTAAGTAGGGTGGCTTATCTGTGTGCGCCATGTATCTGGTAAGTATGCAAATAGATATCATGTTCTTAACTATAAAGATTTCATAAGTACTTTGAGAAACATGAGTTTAAAATGTTACTCATTATTGTAACATTAAATTAAACAATTATGTTTACTGTAAGTGATTGCTTACATGTTCAGACATACGTAGAAAATATCTGAGACACTCTGATAGAGTAGATTTTTGCAGAAATTCATGTGTTTTACAGCAAATGTTGGCACTTAACCCCATAGATATGGAGACTGACTGACTGACTATTTGATTAGTTTTAAAATCTAATCCTAAAACATTCAGAATTATCTTAGTCGAGTTCTTTATAATTGTTTATTATTTCAAAAACCATTTCATACAATTCCCTTATCAAAAATTTCTTACTATTTGCTTTAGTTTTGACAGTTTGATTTCTCTATTGAACAAATTTCATAATTCCTCAAAGATGATGATAAAAAAAGTTTCAAAAATGATTGAATTCTGATATTATGAATAGAATGAATAAAGAATTGCTCATTCTAATGGGAACTCTTTACTATAATATATAATTTTAGCTTATTTTGGTTCTAAATCAGAAAGAACTTTGTCTGAAATGAGTGGATACATGCATAAAACATGACATGTATTCGAATTTTAATTTTATTCAATCTTGTATCATTAAAGATAATGATAATACTTTATACAGAATTTTAATATTCTTAAAATCATTTCTTTATCTTTGACATAATTTGATTAAAGTATATAGAAAAAAAAGAGACTTTTTTCCTGTTTATTACATTTTAATTTGGATAAATATATACATATATATGCAAAATAAAATGTAAGTTAACATAAAATCATATAAATATTTATATACATAGTGTTAAATAGTGATATATTTAAAAAAGAAAATTTATTAGTTGTGGATCATGGAAGTTATTTCAATTGATTTACTAAGATTTTATATATATCAATATATTAAAAAAAAATCAAAAATCATAAGTATGAATTATGAAATTGTAAAATATTTAAATAAATGTTTAATTTTTGATGGTTTTAATTAGAAAATTTAATTATCGTTTTGTAAATTGACTAAAGTTTTCACATTATAAATTTCAAAAAATAAAATTTATGGCAAATCGAATGTATTTTGTTATGAAGAATAATTGCTAGATTTGCAACGAAATATGAGCTACGATAGAATGTTAGACGCATTAATACCAGGCATAATTTAATAAAATTTTTGAATGGTGAACAATTTTGCTGCCTGCAGTTTTTCCAACATTCTATGCTCTCTTATGACCATATTGCTCAGATCTGTCTGATGAAAAGATAAGATTAGCATCTTATCTTATCATAAACAGATCATATGGTAGATCCATTTTGAAAAGTATATTCACCATAAGTTTTCACTGGATAGCCTGGAGTAGAGTATTTATATGTTATTAAATCAGCACAAAATGGAAACAGTTTGTTCACTCTTAACTTTGAAAAATTGTGATTTTTAATTTACTAAAATAATTTTGTAATGCCAGTGGGCATATGGCTTCACAAGTTGAGTTACCAACAAATCATTATCAGATATGTAAAATATGTATTTACGTACCAATATTAACAATGAACCTTGTCCTCTGCACATTTTGTTGTGATATACTCACTAATGATGGCACGAAGTTATTGAGATTAGACAGACATCTTAAAATTCAAGCATTCTAAACATGCTAGAAAGCTATATAATGTTTTCACTGTCCTCTGATAATGTGCAGTACTCAATCTAAAAACTTGCAGAAATATGGTAGGATTAATGAAAAATATTCAAAAGCTTCCTTTGAGTTTGAGGCTAATTATCTAATAACGAAGGAGACTAAACTTCGCTCTGTTGGTGAAATGCTTCTCTCTGCTGCAGTAAAAGTAGTAATGTCATTCATGGTAAAGCCTATTCTGAGAAATTAAAAATACTATTGCAAAATGCAGAGAGATGATAGCTGAAGATTTTGAAGAGACAGTTATCAGGATAAATGTGCGTGCAAAAATTTGCTTTGCAGTTAGACAAAAGTATATCTGTGATGAGGTTTGGCTCGGTTTTGTTAGATAATTTTTTTTAATGACAAATTACATAAATACTTTTCTGCTACCCACTTAAAGAGAGATACTTTCAGAAATAGTTTGTCGTCGTGGAAAAAATTTATCTTGTGACAGTTGTATAACGTCAGATCATTAAAAAAAAAATTAAATTAAGCTGTTGCATCAAATCATGTGCTGGTCTTGTAACATTTTTTCTATTCGTTTCGGAATAGGAAAAAAGTTATATTTAAGTGCTTTTTTTCTTTAATGTTAATTTTATTAAAATTACCATCAAGATAACTTGATAAACTTTGTAAAAAATTAAAATTCATTCACGCAAGTGGAATTAATTTATTTTGCAATAGCTCATTTTCATTGTGAATCTAGCATAAATTGATAAAATACAATATTTTAAATAAGACTTGTCTTAAAAACGAACTTAAACTTTGATGGGTATATCATTGTCCAAGGCAAATGAAGACAATTATAATTAAGATTGTAAATAATTCGTTTGCTATTTGGGTCCTTGTGGTATACGAGGTCAAAATAATTTAGGCTAAGCATATTGTGAACAGTGAAATTTCTGATTAAACATGTTATAAATATTTATTCGTGTACATTTTTTTTTATTTATACAATTTATTGGTAAAATGACCAAATTTATTTTTATCTTTTTTTTTTATTTTTTAGTTCTGTAATTTTTTTTTATTAAATAATACTTTTAAAAAATTACAATATTGTTTCCAAGATGATTTGTAAAATTTTATTTTGGGTCATGGTCATAAAAATTTGTATATAATAATCTGTATAGGTTTAAATGATTATTAAGTATCTAGTCAATGATTGTCTACAAGAGAATGATATGCATTTGTATACATGATAAGTTGACTTCCATTAAATTTATTTAATGGACAATATTAATTTTTGGTATCAGTGTAAATTTAATAAATGTAATTGTAAATGTATATTGTTTTAATTTTGTGGTTGTGAATTTTTATAATTTTATGTTTGAATTTCAAGCACTTTTATCTTTGTATGTTGTCTTATAATAAAAGTATTTAAAATTTATTTAGTGAAAGTGCTTTATTTGCATAAAAACTTGTGTATTCTAGTGTTGCAAACTTGTCTAGATGAATACCCATATAGACAGTAACAATAATTGCACAAAATTTCTAATTTTAAGATACATAAAACATGGAAATATTACTATTTTTTGATTGTTGTTCCAGATGAAAGTATCTCCAATATTATTTCAACATGCCCATGAGATTAATTTTGGGTAAACGTTCAAAATTAATCTAGAAATGGAGGATGCATATTGTATACATGATGGTCTTATTTTGTTAATGGGAAGTACAGTAACACCTTGCTTTGTGACCACCCATGAAATTCCCATACAAAGCTGTGTAAGTTTTAATAAAAATCGAACTCCATCTTGATGGCCAAGATAATGGGGGGGTCGGACTTAATGACAATTTTACTCGTTACATTTACAATTTTTTATAAAACTCATCCCTATCCTCAAAATTAAGCTTTTTGCCATTTTATAATAATTAAAAATATAACAATATTTTATTAAAAAGAACTTTTAACAGGTGGCACCATCAAAATTTTAAATGTTGCCGGGGAAAGTCTAGCAACCCATTAATGGTTTATTCATAATGTCTTACATTGCCAGAAATTTTATATTCCAAAGATGGGCACATAAATGAGGTTCTATTGTTGTACATNGTAAAATATTTAAATAAATGTTTAATTTTTGATGGTTTTAATTAGAAAATTTAATTATCGTTTTGTAAATTGACTAAAGTTTTCACATTATAAATTTCAAAAAATAAAATTTATGGCAAATCGAATGTATTTTGTTATGAAGAATAATTGCTAGATTTGCAACGAAATATGAGCTACGATAGAATGTTAGACGCATTAATACCAGGCATAATTTAATAAAATTTTTGAATGGTGAACAATTTTGCTGCCTGCAGTTTTTCCAACATTCTATGCTCTCTTATGACCATATTGCTCAGATCTGTCTGATGAAAAGATAAGATTAGCATCTTATCTTATC